AGTAAAATGGTGATGGAAGTTGAAGCTGAGTGGCAGGCCTCTGGGAGTTCATTTTACTAGTCCCTTGATGTATGTGGATATCTATGAAAATCTCAAGAAAAAAAGATTTAAAAAGAAAAAAAAATGTCCACCTCTGGGGATTTAAAAAGTCTAAGAAAGCCTGAATTGCAGGTGGTAATGGAAGTTCCTGGGGCAATTACTTTCCTCTCAGAAAAAAAGCATGGCCACCATAGTATTTCAGCTAAATGCCAGTAAAAGTAGATGAGCAGCTGAAGGGGAAACAGCAAGGCAGCCAAGGTGCTCAGCATCTCTGATGACTGCTGACAGTACAGGTATATTTGTAAAACAGTTACATTCACAAGCTATTTTCCCTTACACTTTGTTAGTACAGCAGCATGAAGTCTTACTATCCCCCCCCCCGCTTATTGTTTTATTATTTATCTCATTAAACATTAATCAAAATGCCTTGAGTCAGACAGATCAAATCCTAACACTGGCAAAGGGAGTCTCTATTTCGTCATTTGGAAAATGAGAATCCAACTCTCATGGGACAGGACTTCATGGGATTATAGGTTTTGGGGTTTGGGTTTTGTTTTTTGTTTTTTTTGATTGGTCGTGGGGCCTGAAATCTGGGTCTGGGCGCTATCCCTCAGCTCTTTAGCTTAAGGCAAGTGCTCTACCACTTGAGTCATAGCACCACTTCCAGCTTTTTCTGCTGAGGAATCAAACCCAGGGTCTCATGCATGCAAGGCAAGCACTCTATTACCGAGCCACCTTCCCAGCCCAGGGATTATAGGTTTTATATAAACACAAGAGTGCACTTAAGGGCTGGGAAGGTAGCTCGGTAATAGAGTGCTTGCATGCATGAGGGTTCCATTCCTCAGCACCACATAAGCAGAAAATGCCGGAAGTGGCACTGTGTCTCAAGTGGTAGAGCGCTTGTCTTGAGCTGAAGAGCTGAGGGACAGTCCCCAGGCCCAGAGTTCAAGCCTCACAACCAACAAAAAAAAAAAAAGTGACTTAACTCCACATCAAACATACAGGCAATGTTCCATGTTAGTTCATTCACTCATGCAAGAGCTTTTTTTGCTTTTATAATACCATGCACTATCTAGCATAGAGCACAAATACCTAATTTTTTACTAAATTTTAGAGACAAAAGGTCCACAAAAGTTCCAAAGACAGATAAGGCGCAACACAGGCTTTAAATCAACACTTTAAAATATTACTGTACTTCCCACAGTACCAGGCTGCCTGAGATGCGAATGTATTCTTTTTAGTCTATTGAATGTAGTTTTGCAGAAGCTCAGACTTACCTCTAAGTTCTAGATAAATAAAATACTTCATGACTAGTTCATAAGGTTTGTCCCATTTTTTTCTTATTCCCTCACCTAATATATCTAAGAAAGTGCTCTCTCACAGGAGAAACTTTTTGTGCATGTGCATGTGTACTCACACACACAAGTATGAGGGCTTGAACTCAGGGCCTGGGCCTTGTCTTTGAGCTTTTTTGCTCAAGGCTAGCGTTCTATACCACTTTGAGTCATAGCACCATTTCTAATTTCCTCCTCAAATCTCAGTTTCCTGAGTTGGATTACAGGCTTGAGCCTCCATTTGCCCAACTACCTTAGCTTATTTTGCTCAAGGCTGGTACTCTGCCACCTGAGCCATACCTCCACTCCCAGCTTTGTGCTGGTTAATTGGAGATAAGAGTCTCATAGACTTTTCTGTCCAAACTGGCTTCCAACCACAATCCTCAGATCTTAGCTTCTTAAGTAGTTTAACTACCAGAATGAGCTACCAGCACATCTGAAAAACTCGTTTTTGAATCTATTTGTTTTTTCTTTTTAATTGTAGTTCTAAAGTCACAGAGCACTCAAATTTTAGCTGACTTCCAAAGCTCAGGCCTATAACCAACCAAGATAGTAACATAGCAGTCAAGCTGAGTTGCTATATAGCTCCCAGCTGCAGGTAACTGGTCATTACTGGTTTGTTGAGCTTCCAAAACTATGGAACAGGTCTCTATGACCTCCCAAGTATTTTCCAACCATCATCACAAAAGGATTTTGCAATTCAAGATGAAAGGATGTGATCAAAGAGGCCAAAGGTATAGGCTGCTAAGAGAAGCAAGCATACGAGATAGTTTCCATGTGATAGAGGGCAGGAAGTATGTAGGCAGGAGGTGCTAAAGGGCTGGGCTTCCCATCACTGCAAAGAATAGCAGGGAGCTGACGATGTGCAGTGGTTGTGGTAAATGGCTTCCGGCCCCACAAAAGAGCTCAGAAAATAAAATAAACCACCCCACAGAGATATTGAGCTGGAGGCCACAGGAAATGCTACATTATACCTTAATTTATACAGTAGTACTCAAAAACAACTCCTGTAACAGGCTTCAGCTAAAAAGTATATATAAATTTTAAAAATAAAAAAACCCAAGACTGTGAAGCTCCTTCAGGAAACAAAGGATAATTCATTTCTTTAAGCTTGAAGACTAACTCTACAGCTAATTCAGTGCATACAGAATTGAGAACCATACAGTAAGAGAAACCAAAATGAATTTTAAACCCAGAGTCCCAAAAAGCAGACTGCAGGATAACTACCTAATTGCAAATGGTAAAAATACCAAAGATGAGTTTCCCTTGGGTAAATCAGAATCTCTAACAATAGCTTATCTGAAATTTGTGTATTTAACACTTTCCACATTATTGTGAGAAATTTAAATCTGTATGTTAAAAGGCTTAATGATTATGTTTTTGATAGGTATTTTAGTCCATTTTCTTCAAATTCAGGTGATTTGAAATACTTGTCTAACCTAGACTATAAATATTCCAGAAGTCTCATAAAACCTGTTAAAAGTGTTCAATCATAATCTTGAGAATTTAATCCTAGGAGTGGTAAGTCATGGCCATGGACCCAGAGTCTAAGTGTATTGCTTTAGTTACCTTAGAACACAGCCATACATTTATTTAAGAGAAATCTTAGCTGGGTGCTGGTGGCTCAGGCCTATAATCCTAGCTACTCAGAAGAACAAGATCTGAAGATTGTGATTCAAAGACAGGTGCGGGTGGGAAAATCTATGAGACTTTTTTTTTGGGGGGGGGGGGGGGGTTCCAGCCGTGGGGCCTGAACTCTGGGCCTGGGCGCTGTCCCTCAGCTCTTCAGCTCAAGGCTAGCGCTCTACCACTTGAGCCACAACACCACTTCCGGCTTTTTTCTTTTTGCTTATGTGGTGCTGAGGAATCGAACCCAGGGCTTCATGCATGCAAGGCAAGCGCTCTACCACTGAGCCACCTTCCCAGCCCCTCTATGAGACTTTTATCTCCAATTAATCACCCAAAAAGCTGGAAGTAGAGCTGTGGCTCAAGTGGTAGAGCACTAGCCTTGAGCAAAAAGAGCTCAGGGACAATACCCAAGGATTACACCCAGACCCTGAGTTCAAACCCCAAGATCAGCACCCCCCAAAAAAAGTTGAAAAACACTGCTCCAGTTCAGTATTGCTACAGCTTCAGTGTGCACACAAATCACAGGGACTTTGTTAAAATGAAGACTTTGCTTTTTTTTTTTTTTTTGGGTCTGGTCGTGGGGCCTGAACTCTGGGCCTGGGCACTGTCCCTCAGCTCTTCAGCTCAAGGCTAGTACTCTACCACTTGAGCCACAGCGCCACTTCCGGCTTTTTTCTTTTTGCTTATGTGGTGCTGAGGAATCGAACCCAGGGCCTCAGGCATGCAAGGCAAGCGCTCTACCACTGAGCCACCTTAAAAAAAAAAAAGAAGAAGAAGACTTTGCTTATGTAGTGTGAGGGTGAGATCTGGGAGTCTCCTTTTCAAAAAAAAGGTTGTAAACCAATGAGTGTGTGTGTGTGTGTGTGTGTGTGTGTGTGTGTGTCTCCTTTTCAAAAAAAAAAAGGCTGTAAACCAATGAGTGTGTGTGTGTGTGTGTGTGTGAGAGAGAGAGAGAGAGAGAGAGAGAAAGATAGCAAGAACCCAGAGCCTGCTCCTCCACTTTGGCAGCACACTGGAATCACCTGGGTAGCTTCACTACAGCTACAGGTCTGGTATGACCTGGACAATGGAATTTTAAGTTTCCCAGATGATGCTGATGTGTAGCCTTGCTGCTGGAAAATCTCTGGAACACAACTCATCTCAGCAGTCAGCCAAATTGAAATAGTGGAACTCTCAACTTGGCTTGTTTCCCATGTTGTTTTGTAGTATATGACAGTCTCCAAGGCTCCTTCACAAATATTTGCATCTTATTCTTGCAGTTATCCTCAGATTATAAATAATAAGATATTTGTGTTTTATTCTTGCAATTAAGGATCAGCTCAATTTAAGTAGAGGAACTCTCAACACAACTTGTTTCCCATAAATAGCAAATCTACTGTACCCCTGAGATGGCATGACACACGGATGACTAGACATCACCCTGCAGACTTACATTCTGCCCAAGCTTTGTCATCAACTCTGATGCTGCTCACAAATCTGAGCTTTAATTTCCTCACCTATCTGGTGAGAACTGGAACCCCTACACCTACAAGAATAAAATGAAAATATTTGCGAAGAAGCTTTGGAGAACATCACATATAACAAATCTACATACATACAACTCCAACGTTTTGTCCTTTGCTTACACTGCCTAAGGGATGAACATTTTACTTTTTATCCCTGAAGCTTGTTGAAACAGAAATGAGAAAGCACTTACTCAATTGATAATAAAGAGCTTAATGGTGCAGTTCCAGGAATACACCAAGTGAGAAAAGCAGAACCACCTTTAACAATGAAGAATTAGTAAAGGATTACTTGCTCCAGGGTAAGGACAAAGGGCACCATTTCCAGGATTACCATTCCAGCCTTTTGTCACAACTTCAAATACACTTAATGGAAACAATGTTTCAGTCACAGCTATCAACTCCTATGAAGCTTATACTTACACAGACTGAAAGGAAAAAGATTTTGATACCAATAAACTTTTAAAAAGAAAAAAAAAAGTCAGAGGCATGAAAAGAAGTAGCATGGAGTTTTTAATTTGGAAAGTAAAAGGTTACACATAGGGGAAGATGGAGCTCCCGGTAAACATGTGTTACAATGGTACTTTCTCTGGGCTTTTTGCCTGCATACCAAACCAGTCGGTAATGGGTACAAATGTGAAGACTCCACATGTTCATCAAGCCGCCATCTTGAGAACTCATATCCAGGGTACATCAAAAAGTGAACCTGAAAGATAAGAGTAGAAAGATAAAATGCCAAGCCCCAAATCCTTCCATGCCAACTCTAAAGCCACGACATTACTGTAGCCAGGTTAGAAGAACTGGAACAAGGTACATTGCAGAATATTCTATGGAACTAAAACCTATAAAAATATGTTCAGGCTGGGAAGGTGGCTCAGTGGTAGAGTGCTTGCCTTGCATGCATGAGGCCTTGGGTTCAATTCCCAGCACCACATAAGCAGAAAACGCCAGAAGTGGCACTGTGGCTCAAGTGGTAGAGCACTAGCCTTGAGCTGAAGAGCTGAGGGACAGCACCCAGGCCCAGAGTTGTGGCCCCATGACTGACAAAAAAAAAGTTCAAACCTGAGTTCCAAGCCCACTATGGCAAGAGTGACTAGCAACTAACTAGGAAGCATGGGTTCTAACTCCAGCTCTGCATTGCTTAGCCTCAGGACTTGGCCTGTCATTCACCTCCTGGGCCCATAACTTCTTACAGTGAGGAACCTTCACTATGCTACCTTTTAGAGGACTTGGGCTACCCACCCAGGAGGGAAAAGGGAATCATCCCTAACCAGAGCTTTTCTGGATCTAGTATGCTTAAAAAGCACTAATTTCTAATTTGGATGAGGATAGAGGAGAAAGGATCCAAGAAAAAAAAAGTTAATGAAGGGACTAAATTTTTAGAAGAAATACTTTAGTTTTTCATTTAAGATAAAGTTATTTTGTGCGGGGTGCCAGTGGCTCATGCCTATAATCCTAGCTAGTCAGGAGGCTGAGATCTGAGGATGGTAGTTCAAAGTCAGCCCAAGCAGGAAAGTTCAGGAGACTTTTATCTCCTATTAATTACAGAAAAAAGCCAGAAGTAGCGCTGTGGCTCAGGTGGGAGAACACTAGCCTTGAGCAAAAGGAACCCAGAGACAGCACCCAGTCCAAGTTCAATCCCCAGAACTGGCCAAAAAAAAGAAAGAAAGAAAGAAAAAGGTAATTTTGTATACAAAATGGGAGTTAAGAGAAGTGGCCATGTTACTGCTGTTAAAGCTGAATGAACTGGGTTGGGTAAATGTGCTACAGCACCACCCTCCCAGAGAAAGACTTAGGCTTCCCGTCTAAGCCCTTCAATTGGCTTCACCTAGTAGATTTTCTCATGATGATGGCCAGAAATTGAACTCTTGGCCTGACTGGCACCAACATTCCCAACTCTAGCAGCCAATTTTCTCAGTGTGTGCTATACTAAATATTGTAATCTATGTATGCTGTGATTTGAAAAGGGTTGAAAAACATCAACGTTCAGAAGAAATGAGCTACCCAACCAAAGTAGGGAAATAGAGAACCACTCTAACTTTGTGTATTGTTACAAGTGACACAGAGATGCTAGCAACAGAGCTTAAAGGAAAGATTTTAGACTTCCAGGCAGAATGCTTTTATTTCACTGAAGTGTTTAAAGAAAAGCTATATAATTACAGCACATTCCTGTGTCAGAGGAATTGTAAGAAATGTATAAAGGGCAAAACCAGAAAGCAAAAAAAAAAAAAAAAAAAATAAGAACAAAAAGGACTATTAAACTCACCTGTACATTCCACTGAATTTAATTCTTAAAAGAAAACTCTAGCAAAGGACCATGAACCATTATTAACATCAGTTCTAATAGCCATCAGTTTCTGACAGGAGAGGACTAAAGGCCATTACACTGAACAAAGCCTTGACACCTTCAGAATTGCAATATAAATCCCAAATTAAATCAAAAGTTTCAAGATTTTATAATATTAAAACACTTAAACCTAAGAGAATGGGCCAATCTATATGACAGGCAAAACTGATTCATAAGAGTAAGTCTCTTTGATAGTGGTTTTCAGAAAACCCTACTCACAAAGATCTGTTCCCTTCTTTTAAGGCAAACAAATATATTACCAGATTCCAAAAGCAGAGGTCCTAGGATTTTTTAAAGTTAGCTCAAAATTGGACAATGGAACAGTTCAGAAGAAAGACTTGAGGGGTTAACCAATGATAAGGATTTGGGAAACTAAAAAAACCTCCCCTTTTACTGAGACATGCAAAAGGAAGACACCTACTGAGAAAACTTAGAAGGACTTCTTCAGTCTATTTCCCCCACACACACAAAAAAAAACACAGTGCCATTTGATCAGTCTGCACTAATAGTCTTAAAGCAAGGCATAACACAAAGAACTGTGAAAAAGAATTATTCTCTGTATAGGCAGAAATGATAATGCCAGATAGGGTCATTTCTATTTCCAATGTATATTCTTCTCCAGCACCAAATCTATTCAGACACTACAACTATGGAGACATGATCAAATGCTGATTTCCCTTAAATCCATTCATCTTAGATTCTGGTCACCCAATTAAAACTAGAATTGGAAAAAATATAATAAAATACCACTTGACAAAGATTCCAAGATCAGAACTCAATCAGAATCACTACACTTTTAGAAGGCATAGATCATATAGTTTCAAAAGTGGAAGCATTAGACATCAAGTAGCTAATCCCCTTGTTTCAGAAACAAGCAAACTGTAACCTGACAACCTGACCAATTTGCTAGAGCTGTGATTTCTAACATAGCTGAGCTAGGTTCGGGTGACTATTTAACCTTCATTAAAATTAAATGAAATAAAAATTGTGGTTCCTCAGTCACATTTCAAATCTTCAATAATCACATGTCTTAAACACAAGACTGCAAAAAATAGCTGGGCACCGGTGGCTCACGCCTGTAATCCTAGCTATTCAGGAGGCTGAGATCTGAGGATCACAGTTCAAAGCCAGCCCCGGCAGGAAAGTCCATGAGACTCTTATCTCCAATAAACCAGTAGAAAACTGGAAGTGGCACTGTGGCTCAAGCAGTAGAGTGCTCTCCTTGAGCTGAAGACCGCAGGGACAGGGCCCAAACCCAGAGTTCAAGCCCCACGACTGACCAAAAAAAAAAAAAAACCTGCAAAAAATACAAAAGTTTGGGGTAAGCGCTGGTAGCTCACAGCTGTAATCCTAGCTACTCAGAAAGGCTAAGACGTGAGGATTGTAGTTCAAAGCCAGCCCAGGCAGAAAAGTCCCCATGAGACTTATTTCCAATTAACCCTCAGAAACCAGAAATGGAGCTGTGGTTCAAAGTGGTAGAGCACTAGCCTTGAACAAGAAAAGCTCAGGGACAGAGTCCAGACCCTGAGCTCAAGCCCCAGGACCAGCACAGGGAAAAAAAAAAAAGTGTATGTGGAAGGATTATGTACAAAGACACACATAAGATCAAAGATACATATGTAAAGGTATATATATAAAACTATATAAGTAATGTGGTAACTTAAAGTATTTTACAAATGGGAAATGGTACTGTGGCTCAAAGTGGTAGAATGCAAATCTCCAACAAAACAGCTCAAGGACAGCACCCAGGCCCTGAGTTCAAGCCCCACAACTGACAAGGAAAAAAAAAAGTTACAAATGGCTTTTTAAAATTACTATGCATTTTGGGGCTGGGAATGTGCCTTAATGGTATAGTGCCTGCCTGGCATGTCTGAAGCCCTGGGTTTGATTCCTCAGTACCACATAAACAGAAAAGGCCAGAAGTAGTGCTGTGGCTCAAGTGGTAGAGTTCTAGCTTTGAACAAAAGAAGCTCAGGGATGGGACAGGGAAGGTGGCTCAGTGGTAGAGCGCTTGCCTTGCATGCATGAGGCCCTGGGTTCGATTCCTCAGCACCACAGAAGCAGAAAAAAACATAAGTGGCACTGTGGCTCAAGTGGTAGAGCGCTAGCCTTGAGCTGAAGAACTGAGGGACAGCGCCCAGGCCCAGAGTTCAGGCCCCACGACCAACAAAAAAAAAAAAAAAGAAGCAGCAGCAGCTCAGGGACAGTGCCCAGGATCTGAGTTATAGTTCCAGGACTGGCAAAAAAAGAAAAAAAAAAAACCTTATTATGCATTTTGTTATCAATAGTTATACTTTAATGTTCTACCTTCTGTGAATAGATGAAGGAAATATGGACAAAAAGCAACAACTATAGGGAAAAAAAAAGGCAAAGGTCAACCAAGGGGGCGGGGGCGGAAAAGCCAGGCACTTGTGGCTCACACTACTCAGGAGGCTGAGATCTGAGGATCATGGTTCAAAGTCAGCCTGGGCAGAAAACTCTGCGAAATTCTCCAATTAACTACTAGAAAATGGGAAGTGGCACTATGGTTCAAGCAGTAGAGCACTAGCCTGGAGCTGAAGAGCGCAGGGACAGCGCCCAGGCCCAAAGTTCAAGCCCCACCACCAAAAAAGAAAAAAGCACAATTCTTCTCAAACACAGAATCTACCATAAACCACACTAAGGAAAGGTTCACAGCTATAAGAGATTTGGCAGAACAGCCATGCCAACCCCCTAACTATATAGCTAGAGGTTGTCTCTGAGACAAGCTTGCTTCTGCATTCAACTTTGACAGAACCAAGTCTCCAGGGCAGGCCTTCTAACTGGTCCTCTCAGGCTTCTCCTATCACAAAGCCTTCATAGGAATCATCTCCTTGGTTTTTTCTTCCATCACAAGTAACCAGTGCCAGAACTATTTTTCTTGCAGGTGAATATGACCTCTTCATTTATATATTCACTCAGCAAACATGTACTGGTAAACCCTAAAGTCCTTACCCTCTTAGAACTTTCAGAGTTCAGAGTAGGAAAGAGGAATCAGTTTGAACTATTTTTTAACCATGTGATAAATGGAGCAAGAGGTCTGTACAGTGGACCTGACAGTTCAAGAGGAAGTTCCTGTGCAGCTTGGCAGGTCATGGTGACTTAAGAATAGGAGTCATTAGAGCTGGAAGGTGGAAAAAACAAGCCAAGGAACTAGGATAACATGAAATTCATAAATACAAGTCTACCTGATATTCATTCTCACATTCCTATTCTATCTGTCTCTGTCTTGCTCTCTCTGTAGCTTTAAATGGGCCAAATTCAAATATTGTTTAGCAACCAATTGGAGTCATCAATACGGGCTTTTGTTCATTTGTTTGGTGCCAGTCTGTGGCTCAGGG